CAAAAATCTGGACCATGTGTGGACTTATTGGTAAAAGAGATTTTTTCTGGATCTCTTTATGAATAAGTACCCATTGATGGGCTTATTTGTAATATGCCCTTAATTCATTACTATTAAATTGAATTTGGAAAGGAATCATATATTTAAACTCCTCTTCCAACATACAGTAGAACCTCGATAAATTAATACCCGATAAATTAATAACCTCGCTTAAATAATAAATTTTCCCAGTCCCGACTCGGGGACAACGTGCTAAATTAATAATTCGCTAAATTTATAAGATAATACACATTCGAAAAATTTAAGAAGCCCCATATAATATATAAATTAATAATGAATAAAAATAATTCTTAAATTAGATGGTATAGTACATATTTTATAGATCTATGAAAGCTTAATACAGTATAATTAATTGTTGCTTGTTTCTTGTTGAAGTTCAAATTACCATCAATCTCGTCCCTCACTTTTCTTAACATGATTAGAACTTTCGGTATAGTTTTGTCATAACTCAACATAAAATTGTTCTATATCATTGCGGCTTTAAGAGCTTTCGTTCTTGAAACGGGCTCTATAATGCATTGAACTAATGGTACACTGAATAATATACACGTAAAAAAATAAAAAAATGTATTTATTGAAAATAATAATAAAAGTAATTTCATAAATTAATAATTTATTAATTAATGTATAAATTAATAATTATTAATTTATTGATAAGTTAATATTTCGCTAAATTAATGAAATTTTGATGGTCCCAACAGTATTAATTTATAGAGGTTTAACTGTATAACATTTTTGGTGTCTCACATCTCTCAAACCAAACTTAATTAGATAAATTAGATATGAGTGACAAACTCAAATAAAACATTTTAACTATATTCCTATTTTAAAATAAAAATTGATATATATTTTTGATTTTTATTTAACCCAAAAATACAAAGTCACGTGTCTCTTTTTTTTCTAATTTATTTCTCTCTCTCTCTCTCTCTCTCTCTCTCTATCTCTCTCTCTCTCTCTCTCTCTCTCTCTCTCTCTCTCTCTC